TATAAGTCATTTTGCAGGCTTATTTGAACCTCCTGTCGATCATTGGAATTGAGAACATACTAAATATTCTATATATAAATAAAACATAATAGAGGAAATAAATAAAACTAATGCAATGACCAAATAGATATCAAATTCTCACACTAACAAATACCGGGTCGAATTCCAATAAATTAATGTTATTTGTTTAGTACACGAATTATCATTAGTATTGCCAAGAGAACAAAGCCAAATATAATTTCATAAAGAAATATAGAAAAATTCAAAATTTTTCAGCTACACTATTCTTGATAAGGCAGGGCAAGTGTCCACATGCCACATGAATGCATTAAAACTTATTAATAAGTAAACGAAGAAGTGGTCTTCGTCATTCGGCGCAAAGGCATAATTAGTAAAAGTAGGTAACAACTTACCGGGCTATTGCTCTTCTTAAATATAAATGTTGACTCGGGAAATTCGGATTAATGATATAAATAAGAAATCAACGAATAAAATCAATGAGTCATTGATTCTCAAAGGTTTAATGCAATTTCAAGACAATAAGTTCGTTACTAAGAATTGAGCTATACGATTCTTAAAAAAAAATGCTTAGTAACGTAATAATCAAAGTATATTCCTATAGGTTTCCATTCGGCCATAATATTTTTTTTTCTCATTTAAATAAGCAGATAAAAATAACAACAAAGTGAAATATCCTCGTTTAGAAATTATATAAATTTTATACATAGAATTTTAAGGCGAATTCTTTAAACAATTTAGATTGAACATTGAAAAATATAAAAAATGTAAACTAAATAAATTTATAACAAGTTTATTTTGCAATATAAAATATAAAGTAACTATAAAATAAATGATTATTCCAATTGGATTAATTAATCACATGCAATTTAAATATAATTACAACTAGTAAATCTTATTATATATAATCGGAATTTATTCAATGATTATATTATATGGTGAAGAAATGTTATATAAATTATTTACGTAATTACGAATAAACAAATTCGATGACAAATATTCTAAAAAAAAATAGAATAATAATCGTTTAGTTTAAAAATTTAGTTGCAATGTTTTTTTCCATAGAGAAGTTAAAATTTCACCTGACGGAATTGTAGCTTATATGCAACAATCCTCTGAAAAGAATATTTCTTTGTTTCTGTTTAACAAAGACAGGATCTCGGAATTTTTACTACCTTGCTAATAGTGCTACTATAATTTAATATGAGTACTACGATGCAAGTTTCGGACCATTCTCCGAAAAATTAGAGTTTGTGCAAAACATACGTACGTACGTGCGTAAAAATAGTTGATAGTCAGGAGCTCGAAATTAACTTGATTCGTCAGCATTTCATTTCGTCAGTTATATAAGGAAAAATCAAAAGAAAATTTTTTTTCCTTAATCGGTATATTTAATATGCAAGATTTTGAAGATCATTTATATATCGTCAAATACGCATAACGGTAGATCTTCAAAAAGGAGACGATTAGCCCGTATATGAAAGTGAAATTTCCGAAAAAAAATCAATAATTCCAAGCAAGCACACATATGCACATTTCTATTTACATAATTATATATTTTCAAGGGTGTGAACGACAATTATGAAACAGACTATTGAATGACGTACGTACCAATGACGCACAATATAGACTCAGACTACAAAGTATGTAGAATTTCGCGAATTTAATATTACACAAGTCTTGTATTAATTAATTAATGCGCTTATTTGGCAATCAAAAAAATTAATTGATAAAAAACTATATATAAAGAGAAAGGGCGTGCTTTCAAAAATGCAAACCATAAAATCAAGCAGCTATGAAAAATATGAAAACGAAAAAAAACCTTAGCTGTAAAAACTAAATCGACTTCGACGAAAAAACCTTCCTTTAAAAAAACTCCAACTATTAAAATAGTTGATGTTAAATTCCCACCTACATTGAATGTTGAATACTTTGTTCAAAAAAAAAAGCAACGCGTACTAAAATTTCCTAATGCGTTTGTATTCTTCAGATCTGTCTATAGCCAAACGTTGCGCGATGAAGGGATAAAGCTCTCTCAAAGCGATGTTTCTGCTTCAGCAAGCTTCGTCTGGCATAATAATTTATCGACAGAAGTAAAGGATTTTTATTTTAATTTTGCTTCCAATGTACGCAATCAATACCTAAGGAAGCATCCCGTCACTTATTATAAGTGTGAATGGAAATCCGAATCTAAATCTATGGTTACGTCAAAGGACGAACCAAAAAAGTTGAAGACATTCAATTTTATATATGAACATCAAAATCCTAAAATCGTGAAACCAACCTCTTTACAAGAGATACCTCAGCCGACCAAAGTAATTCCATCTCAAATGAACAATGTCATTAATCAACCCATTAATATGACTTCTTGGAGCAATAATATTTTTAGAGGACAACCTTCTCTCTTTAATAATGGAAATCAAGCCTTATTGGCTGCTGGATCGAATTTATTTTGCGACCTTCAATTAGATACTATCAATTTTGATCACTTATTTTCTAGCGGGGGATCCGATGATAATGAAAGAGAAATTTTTAATCTTTGTACTTGTACAAATTTTAATGATATTAATAATTTTATTCTTTCTACGCATGAATAAATTAGATATATATTGATTAGTAATATTCATATGGCATGCATTTATTTATATTGTAGTATAAATAGAGATATCAAAATAAAATATAGGCGGTTTATGAATAAGAAATTTATGATATTGATTAAGTCCATTAAGGTTTTAAATAAGATTAATATAAAATATATATATATAGTATGCTTATAAATTTTTAAATATATGTGATTATAGTTCAATTACCCTCAATTAACCGCGGTTTTTAAGCCGATTCATTCAATATGACAAATAAAGCGTATTTTTTTGGAATTATTTTCAAGAACTAAACAGGTTCTAAAAATTGTTTATTTAGGTCATTCATGACACAGCATGTTTTATTGACTAATCCAAATTCTTAAAAGAAAAAAAAAAGCCATGGGAATAAAGAAATATTTATTTGTAGCTATTACCGCATTCATAATATGTTTAATAAAAAAGAACCAATATTTCTTACACCGCCTGCTGTAGGAGATATGCATATCCAGTGAATGGAGTTGTACATGAGGATATTTGAGGCAAATTTTAGGCCGTTTAAAATTATCGGAAAATACGTACTAGTACCCCAAAAAATTTTACTTTAAAATTTAATTTTGCATTTATAAAATTTATTATCTTTATATAGCTTTATAAATTCACTAAAATTGTGTTATTGCCGAAACAAGATCAAGGACTCAAGATTGTCGTGATACTGATCTAACACGTGACCTTGGCGTTACTGCGGTATAGTGATTGGACCCCACTCGGGTCACCCGCGGGTGATCCGAATTCTATTATGGCAACACAGGTGGAAGCGGGTGGGTCACCCGTGAATTACAGTTATTATCATAATTCCTGAGATACCTGTAAAGAATTTAGAATTCCAACCCGAATTTAAAATCTTTATCTTGGCCTGTCGGATCGAACACTTTCATCAACCAGGTATTCGAAATTACAGCTATTATTATAATTCCTGGGACATCTGATTCGGTTAAGTTCATGATTTCATAATAGATTCTCTAAGCCGATACCTGATACATATACGTATGTACGTAAATTTACGTATGTAATTTAAGATCAAGTAACTAATATAAATATTATACCGATACGAATCTCAATAGAAACGTGATGTTTTCAAAGTATCTTCGCTGTCAAATAACTGAAAACTTATCATTTCAGAAATTGCAAAATACTTAGATCTTTGCATGTCTTTTATAAATCGAGTTCTCAAGCATTTTCGAATTCTCACTAGTGCCCCAGGAATTATGGTACCATAACCAACCGGGTTCTACCTGGGTGACCGATGGGCCCACCCGCCGAGTGATCCGGGTAGCGCTTTTTAGACGGGTCCAATCACTACTGCGGTATATTAGAGTTTCCAAATGAACTTTCTAATTTGTCAAGCTACCTACATCAACACACTAATTACAGGTCTCAATCCTGATGCCCAAATTAAATTATAGTACCTAGTCCTTCAACGTTTTAAGCGTTCTTTAAGGAATTGATAATATATATTTAATGATGTTTATAGTAGCATATACAATTGATTATCGTAGTAGTATTATACATTAATTATCGCTAAAGTGATAAATATCAAAGATTGCAAACATGCATACAATAAATCAGTCTTCTCTTAACTTGTCATAATTCATCTTGTTTAAAATTAATAATATTTGATCGTAAAATTGAGTTTACTAATAAGCTTAATAAACACAAAGTTTTTCGGTGTAAGTTATTACCCGGAGCGTAGCGGAAAACGCTGTGCTTAGATCTAATTATAAGAACTATCGCAAACGTAGGTCACACAAATTCATAACAAGAAAACATTAAAAGAATCCGGTCGGCCGGCTTTTTTATTAAATTTTGTATACAGCATATAAAAGTCAATAGTTATCTAAAAAAAATTGCCGATGACCGAATCAATAAGTTACTGGCATCAGAAACATACCTATTCGGTCATCTGCAGTCATCTGCATTTTTTCTGTTGTCCAAGAATATAAGATAATGTAAAGCATATAATAAAGCCGGGTTACAAAAACAATTAATTTACTTTGTTTGGTTTAAATTGGTAATTTTTTTTCATAAATTCGTACAAATCGGTATCTTGGTGTAACAATAACATGTATTTACGCGTTTGTAACACATGATGGATTTTTATTCGTGGAGTAATACAAAATTCCTAAAAAAGCATTTAAAAAGTGAAATTCGAGCCGAAGCCATACAAAGTTACTCAAATGTTTCTTATATGAATTTATAAAAGTGAATGCCTGCTCGGCGTTTAACTTCCAATACCATTAATATTTTAATTTATCTTAATCTGTTAGTTCGATACCTTAATCGGAGTTATCTGTTGACCTATTTCTAATCCATTTTTGAAAACTATTATTGTTTATCGCTGTAAACAACAATAAATAAGCGAATTTATTTTAATTGTATGTACTGTTCCTGATGAGATGGAAATAAAATTTTATGTACCATTCCTTATAAGGTTTTAAAGATTACACTACTATCAAGTAAAGCCATATTATCGTTACTGCTCAATCCGATTGTAAGGTCAATATGTAGAATAAAATTCGGTGGAAAAAAAAAACAAGAATCGGAAATAACTTGCATATAGTGATTGGAACCAGATTTGGCCTTCGGATTTAAAATCCTTCCATCGGACTCTTTTACAGCTGTTTTCATAAATTCTGGGACAACTGATAAAAATTATTTCGGCCGAATTCTATAAGTTTTTGAATTCGGTGTTATCGGAATTTGATTTCGGCGAATTCAAAAACTTATCGAACTTATCGAATTCGGCTGATCAATTTTTATCAGTTGTCCCAGAATTTATGAAAACAGCTGTAAATCCGAATTTAAATCGAATCTACCGAATCTGTAACTCTCATATGATCGATGAAATACATATGTTCTGCGTCATTTTACAATTTAAGTCGATTCCAAATTGACCTAGGTCATTTTTAAATTTCGAAATGACGTACGTTATTTCTCAATCGGTAAAAACATAAAATCATATAAAATATTAATTATATCTTAAATATTTTTGCATAACTAAATAAGCTATAAAAATTTACATATAATTTTACATATAAAATTAAAAAATGTAACATTTGCGTAAATTGCTGCTATATAAAAAGTGAAATGCTTCATAAAACTTAAAAAAAAATCGCATATCAAATAAAAAAAAAAGCATATAAAAATTGCATAAATAAAATTTACATAAAGAAGTTCATCAATTTTGCATCCACCACATAGAATACATCCACATCGTCATGTACATAACAAGTTATTTTTTCATTAGAAATCTTTTGTGAAATAAAACTATACATCATATTAATCCTTTTGCATTATTAAAAAAATGTAAAAATAAACTAAAGGATTAGATATAGAATAGATGACACATCCGACAATTTTCTGGGGAGGAAGAATTAGCTATCATTACAGAACTGTCCAATTTAACGACATTAATGCTGCTGTAAAGTAGCTACGTAGTTACTTTGTAGTAGCTACAGTTTTAAAGTTACTACAGTCAACTTCCTCTAAGTGCAACTTCTCTCTAAATGCAATTAAATAGTCTGGTCCCGTGTTGGAACTTATAATATAAATGCAAGTTCCCTATTCTACAAGTGCAAGACATTCTATGGCTAAGACATATCTAACACCTCTCTCTGCAGATAATATCATACTACGTATGTGCAAGATAAATTATTCAATTTAGAATATACTATATTCTAAAATAAATTTTTCACTATATAATATACACAATATATACAAGAATTTTGTATAAGATATATGTGAAATATATATTAAATTTATCTCATGGAAGGTATATATATGCAGTTTGGCTCCCAGCTCAATGTTAAATTTATACTTACTTTATACTGTAGTAAAAAAAAAAATAAAGTTGGCAAACGATTAAAAAAATATTTTTAAATAATCAACTTTATATTTCTATACAGCTATCAATATGCAATTAAGATACGTATATAGATTTGCTGTATATGTTAATATTGACCAATCATAATCATAAATATGGTTCATGTGCTAAATGGTTGATTTTGAATTTTTTCTCTAAATGCAACATCTCTCTATATGCAAGGTAATCTATCAGTCCAACGAATTGCACTTAGAGGGAGTTGACTGTATATATTAGCAATACATCTACTAGTATTGACTATATTTTTACTATAATTGCTATTATTGACTACTACATTACTACTACTTTTTACTATACCCTTTACTACAATTTTATAAAAAAAATCTTATAAAATTGTAGTAAAAGTATAGTAAAATAGTAGTAATGTAGTAGTCAATAATAGCAATTATAGTAAAAGCATAGTAAAAAGCAGCAATATAGTAGTTAATAGTAGTAGACATATTGCTAATATATAGTAACTTTCTATTACAAAGCAACTACATAGTTACTTTACAGCTAATTACAAATGATACTAAATTGGTCAGATCTGCAAAGATGTTACATAACTACAAAATGTAATGCAGTACTATTTTATTTTATATAACTACTTATTTAGCCATATTATATTGATTACAGTAATTTTGTATCAATATACTATTTTATTATTATTTATCTATTTATTTTTTTAAAATTTTCAAAATTTATTACTTATTAATAATTCTAGTAAAATACTCTATATTGTGAAATAATTAAATAATCATTTAATATTATAGAACTTTATAATTATAAAATCTTTAACATTTTTTTTAAATAAATTGAAAGCTATAATAATACTTTTAATAACTACTAATAATTAGTGCTTATTAATATACTTTTAAAAAAGTTATTACTTATATAATTCACTTAAATTTATTTAAATTAATAACATTAAATAATAATTTGCTTAGTATTTTAAAACAGATTAAAAATTCTAGTTGATTTAAGATTAATTTGAATTTGATACAGATCAATATAGAGCTGATTCAGAGCCAATTTGATAGTTAATTTAGGATTTACTTTTTTTTTTTTGTTAAGTGTCTAGAGACTAGAATTTATT